AACCAGCATTCATAGCCAAAGATACTTTTTGACAAACTTGACTTCCATTAACATGGCGCTGTGGCTGCGTTCCGTCGTATTCTCCGCAGATCATTTTAGCTTCCGCATTAGTTCGCTCGCCTGATCGATTCTTGTCATCTTCAACACTGCGCCTGTTATCTCTTGCTGATATTATTTCCCTGACTTTTGCAGCATCTTCAATTGAATTCCACTGACCTACAGATTGCGCTCAAGCGCCTCAGTTTTGGGACAGGCTGGTCTTCATCTCGTCCTCACCGCATGCGACTGTGACAGCAAACCTATCACTACTTTTAGAGGATCAACACAAGGGGATGCTCTCATGAACAAGTAATAGTAACGTCAGACTGCAGTTGTCCTACTGAGTCATTGCCAGTTATTGTTTTCATGGCTTAGGCAGCGCCGATTGATCTAGTCCATTAGAATTATTAACGGAAGAAGGTGCTGCGCACATCTTTGGTAGAGATCAATCCGCACTCCTCAAGATGTTGAACGTGGCTTTAGTTTATTCAGTTTTAGTTGGCCCCTTGACATCGTACTCTTAGTTTTAGATGTATGGGGTGCTTTTTGAGCAGACGCGGAGCCATAGCATTTTAACACGATAAGGGTTGTTCATTTCTATTATAATTAACATGATTTGCGCATTTCACATTGTTTTGTCTTCCACGATTATTTGCCACCTGTCCGTTTTATCGCGTTTCATTTTCCTGTTATTCACGGAGTGCATGATTCTGAAAGTTAATCTGTGTATGAGATCGGGTGCTCCAATTTTATGCACATCGAGCGATCATTAACTTTATTAACGTTAAACAGACTGCTCGAAGATTTACACCGAAATATTTGTAACTCTAGTAGAATGTTTAAAAGAAGGTTTTCAAATTACCTGTACAGATATATTCATCATCAGCAGTAGCGGCTTTTTTGATCCTCGATCCATAAGGCCTGTCTGAGACTCTGCCGTATGGCGCCATATGCCATATTGTGTTTTCTAGGGTTCTTATCCTTCTTGATCCATCAGACTTCTTCAACTCGTTCTGCCGTCGATCCAGAGGTCTTCCCACTTGCCGTTCATTCTGGAATCCAGTGTAGTGTTTCTCTGATTCAGCGATGGTCGGTTATTGTTTCAACGTGTCTAGCCCATTTCACTTTAACTTCTACACTCAAGCAGTGACATTGCTGACTCTTGTTTGATACCTTACCTGTTCATTTTTCTTTCTATCCTTTCTTGTTATTCTAATATACAGTTTGCGAGTAGCTTTCAGGCTTAGAGTCCACCTTTTTGCGCCCAAAGATTAGGTGGGCTGAGAGCACACACTGATCGATTACTTTCCATTTCAAGCACGAGGACAGTTTTCCATAGAATATTTTCAATTTTACAAATGTGCCCCATGCCATTTACTCTTCCGTTGATTTCCAAAAGTTGGTTCGCCTTTGCGAAGATCAGGTATCCCAGATGGACGTGGTTTGACACCTCTTCAAGCCTTGGTGCTCCGACTTCAACAGGTATCCTAACAGGGAGGGCGGCGTAATTGTCAAACGTTACTTTAATCTTATTACCAGCCCTGCTTTTATTCCCGGAATCATCCATTTGTCTGATCTTCTTTGAAGTTTTTCTTGTGATCTTAAGATAAACATTATTTCCGCCGCAAACCTCAGAAGGATGAAGTATTGCTCATTTATCTTCCCCCCTTTCCCAGTGGAATGTCTTGAAAACGTGTTCTAGGGTTGCTGTGAAAAACGTGATATTGCGTCTCCTTTTCGACTTAGAACTGGCTTCTGCTTTTGTAAGCTTCACACTAGCAGATGCATTCTTGTAGATCATGCATTGACATCGCCCTATATCTGTTCTCGATTCCATGTTTCCTCAAGAAATCCAATGCATACCGAACGTAGCTTGAAGTCGAAAGCTTTCTCGAAATCGATGAACCCAATGCAGATATCAACGGGGATTCGCCACTTGTCTGAATTACTTCTTGTGCCACCTGAAGATGATCCTTCGTACTAAATCCACTTCTGAATCCTGCCTACTTTTTTAGCTGTGCATCGTCCAGTCCAGTATTTCCTCAAATCTGTTCGTCAGTACCTTCATGAAGGTCTATAGAATCATTGACAACTGATTGATCAGCATGTAGTTCTTTTTTGTAAAGTGTAATCACTTAGCGGTGGTTCATTCCTCTGAAATTTTCACGTCCTGAAAATAGCGTGATAATAAGTATGCTAATACCTTGGTAAATGCTTCACTGCCAGATTTCACGAATTCCACTATAATGACGTCTTTGATGGGGCCGTTCCTCGTTTTTACTGTTTTATTCCATTTCGTACTTGTTCTGGCAAGGTATCTGAAATTTCGTCAACTTCATTGGCATTTTCAGGCTTCTTATGATCACCTAGCGTTGCTTTTTTCATAGAAGTATTCAGCTATCATAAAAATGTTTTGCCTGTCCGTGATGAGAGTTCCATATTCTGCTTTAAAGCTACGATTCATCGTTTCACATGCTTCGTAGTTTTATTTCATTTTTCATGTTTCAGTTGTTTTCAATAGTTTCTTTTAACATTGTGCAGTTCAGTGCGTTAACGTATTCTTTAATCCTTTTTCCAAGAGTTAGCAAAGTTACACATTTTCGAACTTCGATTTTTGATAAGTTGCTGTCATCATCTCTGTTCTTTCTAAATTCTTTCGTTAACTTTGTGATTTTTTCGGTCGATCTTCATTGTTGTTTTCCCGTATATGCTTTCCGCCGTTTTCTACTAAATTACCTGTAAACATTTTTATATAGAATTTATTCGTCTTGTAAAGTTCTTATCGTAATCACCTCGTGCTACTTGCATTTCATAGATGGTCCGCCGCATGCGATGAAGGCACGAAAATGATCAGCCTGCCAAAACTGATGCTTTTGTATTTTCGAGAAGACCTATTTAGCGGGCCACGCAGGCACGTGGAGAAGTCTATATTTTTTGTAGTTCACGAGTGCCAGCAAACGTAACGCGGCGATAGACGCACGAACCGCTCAGACGAGCGCAATAATGTAAAGGCTAAACCTATGCGCAGTGACAAAGCGCAACTTGAACAGTAATATTAAGTAATATCTGTTCAAGTCTGTGTCGGAATTTATCCCAGTTCCGATCATGACTGGTGAATGTTGTGTTTACTGAACGGGTGCGATCTCTGGCTCAAGTGGTTGAAATAAGGTTACTACGAAACGTTTAAAATGTGACTTTCAAAAGTCGAACAAGGCGATTTGAGTTAACTAGGTCGATGCGCTTCTTCTCCGAACAGAGAGGTCGTAGTTGGGCTGAATTTAAAAGAAAAAACAGAAAGTTGCATAACAGGTACTCTCTTGTACATGCGAAGACCTGATTGCTTCGACATGCAGAATGTTTGGCTTTCTGATTTCCTGTAATCTACTCCGTTGGGTTATTCAGAATTGCTCGTTGACCAGGGCTATTAATACAAGCTTCAGAAATGTTTGTTCTTGCAACTCGAGAAAATCAGCGGTCGGTGTAAACGAATGATTGCAGGAATGGAGAATTCCGTATCACAGCAACTGAAATACGAATCTAGGTTACCGTACAGAGTGCCGCACGTTGTGCTGTCCTGCATTTTTCCTACGAACTGCAAAACGAAAGTAAAATGCAGATTGTTGTTTCCACAGCTGAGAGGTTTCATGTTCACGGGAATTGTACGCCAGTTGCAATGAGCGCAGGACTTCACCATCCATTCATTTCTCAGCCAACCCCTTCTTCCGATTTCATTGGTCAGCAGCTTCCTGAAACAGTGTCAGTATTCAGATCCTTTTCCACTAGGGAAATCTCCACGGACTGTAATGCGAGGCGTGAAGTGTTGTCAGGTTTTGAGTTTTCTCGTGTTTACGGTGCTCTGTGATCCTGTATGTTAGATTATGTTATATAGCCGCCCGCCTACCATATAGCCTATGAAGAAAATTCGTTTGCAAGTCTTGCCTGTAAAATCGTTATCACGTACAGATTTTATGTTGTTTTCGTAAAGGTTTAGTCCTGGTCAGAACGTCACATTGTGCATTTGCAGTGTATGTTGTGTTAATTATGGAAAGCTTTTTTGAGATGGAATCGTCTATACAACTGGAATTAGCTTTGGTTGTTGGTTACTTATATAGTCTTTGTGGTGGGTCACCTACTTCAGCTCGATTATCAACGTTAATGTTCTTTTATGCCGAACTCAAATGGTTTAGATAGTGATCCGTATACGAGCATGACGAACTCGTCTTTTTTCGTGATGTCCGCAGACGGAAACAGTACTGTCCGCATCCCGTCAGTGTTCCTCTTCGGCTTGGAAGCAAAGTCTTTTATGAAACTGTTGGCAGATCATCCTGATGTCTTGGTTCGCCTAGGCGAAAAGACCTTAAATCCATGTAAGCAATTTTTAGTGTGCTGTTTGTTGTGAGTTATATTTCGCATATATTTTAGCGGTTATTATCAGCGGCTACTGGCGGGATGGTTTCCGAGCTGATCATAGCAGAGTTTTATCTCGCAAAGTTCATTGATTCATCCTT